AAAAAAAAAAAAAAAAAAAATGGCTAGAGGTAACCGTGTCTTTATTTAAGGTCTTTTTTCTTTCTTTCTTGTGATGGAGTCTCACTCCGTCAGGCTAGGGTGCCGTGGCACGATCTCAGCTCACTGCAACCTCCACCTCCCAGGTTCAAGCAGTTCTCCTGCCTCACCCTCCCAAGAAGCTGGGACTACATGCGCCACCACGCCCGGCTAATGTTGCATTTTTAGTAGAGATGGGGTTTCACCATGTTGGCCAGGCTGGTCTCGAACTCCTGACCTTGAGTGATTCATCTGCCTTGGCCTCCCAAAGTGTAGGGATTATAGGCGTGCACCACCGTACCCGGTTTAATTTTTCTATTTTTAGTAGAGATGGGATTTCACCATGTTGGCCAGGCTGGTCTCAAACTCCTGACCTCAGGTGATCCACCCACCTCGGCCTCCCAAAGTGCTGGGGTTACAGGCGTGAGCCACCGCGCCCGGCCCACTATTATTATTATTTTTGAGCTAGGTTCTCAGCCTGTTGGCAGACTGGAGTGCAGTGGTGCAATCATGGCTCACTGCAGGCTTGAACTCCCAGGCTCAAGAGATCCTCCCACCTTAGCCTCCCGAGTAGCTGGGACTACAGGCGTGCACCCCGACACCTGGTTAATTTTTTATTTTTATTTTTGTAGAGACAGGGGTCTCCCTGTGTTGGCCAGGCTGGTCTGGAACTCCTGGGCTCAAGCCGTCCACCCACCTCCGATTCCCAAAGTGCTGGGATTACAGGCTTGAGCCACCGCCCCCACCCTGGTCCGCTAGTATAGTGAAGTGGTGCCCGAAACGCTCTCAGTCTTGGCTTGGCACATGAAGTGGGCACTCAGCAAACAGCAGTTGCTATCCCCAGAACTGCCAGCAGTACCCGTCTCTCCGACATTCGTGCAGACGCCCTGGCGAGAGGGTGTGGGAGAAATCTGCCCAGGGACCGAGTGGGCGTGTGCTCGTGCTTCTGAGTCTGGCATGAGACCACCTGCAGGGCCGGTCAGGCCAGGGGGGCCTGGTCTTGGATCATCACACTCTCCGCCCAGGCGAGGCGAGCGGGTGGGCGGCCAGGTATCTGCCACCGCCAGAGACGCTCGCCAGGCTGCAGGTGGGCGTGATGGCAGTACAGGAAGGCCTCACAGTGAATATCCTGGCAGGGAGACAGCAGTTAGGCTGGAGGAGGACTCAGCTCATTCAAACACCATCTGCTGACTGGGTGTGGTGGCTCACGCCTGTAATCCCAGAACTTTAGGAAGCCAAGGCAGGTGGATCACTGGAGTTCAGGAGTTCAAGACCAGCCTGGGCAACACAGTGAAACCCGGTCTCCACCAAAATAGAAAAACAAAATTAACCTGTAGTCCCAGCTACTCAGGAAGCTGAGGCAGGAGAATTGTCGGAATCAGGGAGGTGGGGGTTGCAGTGAGCTGAGATCGTGCCACTGTGCTCTAGCCTGGGTGACAGAGCAAGACTCCATCTCCAAAGAAAAAGGAAAAAAAAACAGGCTGGGTGTGGTGGCTCACGCCTGTAATCCCAGCACTTTGGGAGGCCGAGGAGGGTGGATCATGAGGTCAGAAGTTCAAGACCAGCCTGGCCGAGATAGTGAAACCCTGTCTCTACTAAAACTACAAAAAATTAGCTGGGTGTGGTGGCAGGCGCCTGGAGTCCCAGTTACTCAGGAGGCTGAGGCAGGAGAATCACTTGAACCTGGGTGGCAGAGGTTGCGGTGAGCCGAGATCGTGCCATTGCACTCCAGCCTGGGCCACAGAGCGAGACTCCGTCTGAAAA